ATTGATTAGCCGGTGGATCCATTTCATTCACCAAGTCTCATTTGGCTTGACGTTTCTGCACTCTCGTGTCCTCACAACCACCATCACTTTGTAGGAATGTTGAAATATGAACACATTTATTGTAAATAGTATTTATTGATTAATTTATATTGAAAATATTTTTTAGATTTTTTTTTTGAATAAATTCGCAAGGGGTTAGATTCGAATCGTTGTCCTGAGATGAAAAAATACACTTATACGTGACTTGACGCCATTAAGCCCGAAGACCCAAGTGCCTAGATTATCTTGCACACTATAAAAGCTTTATGTACATAATATTCTTTCTTTATACACACCATAAAAGTTTTTATGTACATAATCTTATTTAAGAAAGAAGAGACACTTTCATCATAGATTTAGCCTTTCCCTTGTCATTTGTTAATGTGGTGCTGTGTTAGGCTGTGATATAGCCATAAGTTTTTTGTTTTTTTATTATTTAAAATATATAAAATATTAATTAAAATTTATTTTTTGAATAAAGTGTTGTGTCAAAATATCTGTACAAATTATAATTAAATGAAGTCTTAGTGCGTTATGATGTGCTTTTCAAAGATTATGTTAATTTTAAAAAAGTAACAGGTTTATATCGTTGGAGCTAGAGTGCAAGGCACTATTTCCGTTGTTGGGTTGACCAACTAAGTTGATAGTAACACCCAAATAATGGTCTAATATATAAAAATATTATTATAAATTTAAAAAATTAATGAATTACATTTATGTGTCTTTATATATATAAACTACTTAATTTTTATTATTCACGTTTGATGTATAATTCTTTCTACTCACATGTAAATACTTAACATATATAAATATTGAAGCAAAATAACAATTAAAAATCATTTTATTTCTAACAAATTCATAATTTTATTAATAAAAACCATGTAAAAAATCACAATCAAATCAATCCAAGCACGCATTTGGGCCTTCGGACTTAGTGATGTCAGGTTACGTATAAATGCATTTTTTTATCTCAGGGTAACGATTCGAATCCAACCTTTTACAAATTTATTAAAAAAAAAAAAATCAATCCAAGCACCCTTAATAAAAATTCTCAACCGACTACGGACTGATCTGAACAGACTGAACAGTGAACAATAGATCTGGGCATATAGGCCACTGCCCATTAAATTTGTCAAAAACAAAAGTTAGAATGTTTACAAGTGAAGGCCCATTAATAGATAGGCCGCTCCGACGGAAGAGAATTGTGCACTCACTCTTAGTAGGCTGAGGGAAAGCATTCCCAATAATTTTTTTTGAAGCTGGTTTTGTGATCTAGATTTGAATGCTTCTTACAAGGTGCCGAGTTTCAATTATAAAAATGTACTCTTAATTTTGTGTAACATAAGAAAACGAGTGTTATTAAGAGCATTTTATTTTTTTTCAATACCAATTAGTCAATTAATTAATCTTTTATCAGTTTGAATTAAAAATAATATTTTTAATTCAAAAAAGATGATGGAAAGAAAAATGTAGAATTAGTCGGCAAAGATCTTTCAAATTATCAAATAACAAATACTCTCTTCATTTCTCAATAAACCGAAAAAAAGTATAAAACAACTTCAGCAATATAGTTATGTTATGACCTTAGAATTAAGATCTTGAGGAGAACTCAAGACCAAAATTCTACTACATATCAAGACAAACTGTAAGAACCCTATCAAAGCACACAAAAATGGTAAAAGAAAATGAATGTGAAAATTGTTAGTCTTTTTCTAACAAATTTTGTTCCTATTACTTTTCCGCTCCATGACATATTTCTTCCAAAAATCAGTGATCTCCCTCTGTTTCTCCATCTCAGTTTTCTTGATCACGGTGCCATTTTTCCCGTTCTCTACGGCTGACAGTTTGGCATTAACTCTAGCCGGTAGAGTGTCCAGCTCATGGAGCACCTTCTGGATGTCAAGCACGAGGCGCTCCGCCAGGGTGCGGGAGAAGTCCTCCCTAATGACCACGCGGAGCACAGTGATGTGCTGGGCGTCCGCTGGCATAGTGTAGGCAGGCACAATCCAGCCGAATCGACGCAGCATTTCGGATATCTCGAACTCGTCGTGACGACGGCTGTCCTTGAGAGAAAATGCCACCAGTGGAACTCCTTCGTCTTTCGACACAATGTTAAAGCGCCCTGTCTTCTCCAATCCTTCTTTCAGAACCATTGCATTTTCATGACAGTTCTCCATCACATTCCGGTAACCCTATAGTTTATTACATCAATTTAGTTTAGTTTGCATACAAAAATGAATAGAACTTAGTGCTTAATTAATTGCATGATATTGCGTTTAATTTGTTTCTTAATTTCTTACCTCATAACCCAAACGAATTAATTGGTAGTACTGAGCAATAACTTGACTCGATCCTGCAAGAGTAAATTTTTGGTTAGAACTTAAACTTGCTAAAGGGAGAGATTGGTAGGATATTTACTGGATGTAAACGAGCCAAACTGAACAGATGCAAAGCTCAAGCTAATTAACTTAGCTCGATTTATTTTTACTAAAAGCAAGCTCAACTCAAGCTAGGCATGATTAAGCTCGAGTGTTGCCAGCACTCCTCGTTAGCTAATTTATAACTTGCAGTAATATTTACCTTTCGAGAAATTGAGGGTAAAAGTGGGTTGATCAGTGCCAAGGTAATTAATGTGGAAAATAAGTTCTTCAGGCAAGTCCTCTTTGCTCCTCCAAATGATCCATCCAATTCCAGCATAGACAAGGCCATACTTGTGGCCACTAACATTGATGCTCTTCACAAGTGGTAGCCGGAAATCCCATTCGAGCTCTGGATACAAGAATGGTGCTATAAATCCACCACTGGCCGCATCCACATGTATTGGAGTATCCCATCTGCAAAAATTCGACGAAACAAAGAAAACGCTCGTTAGCTATATCATCACCTCTCAATGTTATAATTTTGGACTTTCATGCACCCTTAAATTTTTAGATGAAACAGTTCTACATTAATTAAGGAAGATATCTACCCAGTTTGCTTGTTCTTTTCGACTAAAAGATCGTTCAACAGCTTGACATCCTCAAACTCGCCATTGAGGGTGGAACCCAAGATAGCAGCAACACAAATGGTGTTTTCATCCACCAGTTCCACAGCTTTGACGGGATCCATCACATAGTAACCTTCCCTCAGCTTTACTTCCTTCAGCTCTACCTCGAAGTACCTAGCAAATTTCTCCCAACAAACCTATGTGAAAAATAAAAGTAATAATGTTAGGCAACCTATAGTCCAGAGAAGGGAAATTTTGGTACCCAATGTCCAAGGAGCCTCTGCCAGAGTCCCATGACGCGAAAGGTTAGGGAAAAAGAGTAAATTTAGTCCTCAAACTTTTATGCCTTTGGGAAATTAAGACCCTAAACAAAATTTTGGATCTTTCTTAAGTTCTTAACTAATCCATTCTTTTTAATAACCAAGAAGATGCGCTAATGCATGTTCAAAAAAAGAAGAAGATGCGCTAATGCATGTTCAAAAAAAGAAGAAGATGCGCTAATCAGGAACTTCAATCCAAATCACTTCAGCTTCTCTAGATAAATTTTTTTTTCAATTTTATAAAGAATAAATTTTTATTTTTTATACATGAAAAATTAATTAAGTAAACATAATTATTGGTCAGAGGACTATGGTCTTGAAAACAACGGGTTTAGACTTTAGAGACCAAAAGAACCTAATTGACTGGGAAATTACTCTAATGACTTGATAGCCAAACTCGTAAAAGTTGAGGGGCTAATCTCTGACTTCTATTATTTAAAAATAAAGAAAAAGAAATCCGATTAGCAATTTTCTTTGACTAAATTGCTTTGATACCTGAACATTGGCTCCAGTAACAATGTTGGGTTTGTCAAAGGGTTTGCCTTCAGCCTTCCGCTTGTTCTGCCACTTTCGCTTGAATGCAAGGCCAGCCAGCATTATTGCCTCCGATGATCCCACGGTTCCCACTCCGACCGCCGCCTCCGACTCCTTAAGCGGCGCATTGAACAGATGTGCTATCATATTCACACATCGATTCTGGAAAAAAAAACCCAAATTTCTGATTTAGTACAAACTCGAATCTCATCAAAACCCAAATCCCCAAATTTCCAAAAATTTCTAAGAGAGAAAGAGATACATGCCTGAAGTTCAGTGGTGACGGGGTACTCATCCATGTCGACGTAGTTCTTGTTGACGGCGTCCATGATCAGCTTATCACACTCCGGTTCCATCCACGTCGTCACAAAGGAGGCAAGATTGAGCCTGGGATTCCCGTCCAGCATCAGCTCATCATTTATGATCTGATACGCGGCGTCCTTCGGGATTGAGTTCTCCGGCATCCTGAACCTGCAATATCGAATACACACATTAAAACAAAAAACATCAAACCTGAAATTAGGTATAAAATTACATTTCCATATTTTACAGGGCGAACTGCAAAATAACCATAAAAAATAAACGTATCTTGTCCAAACCATAAAATATTTTTTTGAGAAGATTATTACCGGGGAAGTGAGTTTCGGACATAGCGAGAAGCGAAAGTTGAGTGAATTGAGACATCGGACTCGGAAGCTGTCTTGGACAGAACCATGGTTGTAATGAGAGAAAAACAAGGAATTGAAAAGAGAGAAGACTTTTAAGCGGTAATTGGGTTGCTTGGCGAAGGGTAATGGCGTTGCAAATGGTATTTATAGATGTTATTGGAGTGTAAAATTAATGTTAAAAGAAAAAGGCTGAATT